CTTCGTCTGCAGCATGGGGTAGCGCAGGGGGTGCTCCACCGGCGAGGGAGCAACAGGACACCAAAGGGGGATGCCTTTTGTGCACCGTTTGCACCTGGTGGAGAGTCCACAATGAGATGCACAAATCACCACTGAAAGTTGGGGGTCCTTGGGGAGCTCGGCTTGACTCAAAGCAGTAACAGAATCCGGACATCAACCAGTGGAGTGTGCAGTCTTAAGTAGGATGAAACAAACGTGCATGCCAACTGGATGCAGAGTTGAGGGTGGGCTTCAGCCCCACTCCGAATTCCTGCACACATCAGGGGGCCTGAGGGAGACCGGAAAGGCGGCCCAAGACAGGGCCTGTTTACCTGAAGGACTGCACCTGCCGCGGCACCTTCCGGCTCTGCTCCCGAAGCCGACACACGTCCTTGGAGACTTGTCGCATCAACTTCTCAGCATTCAAGTCTTGCTTCTGCTCTTCTTTGGACAGTTCAGCCTGGAGGAGGAAAACACGCATGAGCAACACACAAATATGCGTGAGGAATCCCTCAGAATCAGGTACTGAGCCACAGGAGGCAGCCTGCACAGACAACAGCAGATGGGGGGGCTTCTGTCACCCACCTGAGGAAAACTCCAACATGCCCAACTCCCATCACACCATGGAGCGGCCGTCGAGCCAAGTCATGGCTCCTTGAATCGCATCCGAAGTATCTTATGGTGCAAGCAGAACCCCAAGATTCCTCTGTGCCCCCAAACAGGGTGAGAACGGGTTGTAACGCGGTTTCCAGGAAATGTCTACGGTTAACATTCTGGCATGTTCTCCACCCTTTATTCATCTTTTAAGAAGTTTTTATTCTTTCTGAGCCAGTTTGAAAGATATTTTTTGAAATACAATATGCACACCAGAAAGAGTGTACATTTAAGTCTATAAGAAATTGAACACACTCATGTAAACGAGCACCCACATCCAGGGGAACGGACACTACCAGTTGTTTCAGAAGCTTGTCTGGTGCCCTCCAGTCCCTGGCCCCCAGGGCTGCCAGCGTTCGGTTTCTCACAGCACGGATGCCTTCTGCTTGCTTCTGTCCTCTGTATACATGGGACCACGCAGTAAGCACTGGTCACTGCTACAAGGGGCCATCAACTTGGTTCTGTGACACAACTCCGCGTGTCACAGAACCACACACTGCTCAGCCCCATGCCCTCCTCACACGGTTGTGACGTTGGAGGCCACGGCTGTAGCCACTGTGTCAACCCACATTGCTGGGGGTCTTCCTGATTTTTGGATCCTCTCTTTAGTCAAGTATGATGTTGACCTCGGGGATGGGGCCCTCCTGATAAGACCCTGAATGTAAGTGAAGTCTCGTCCAGGCTTGTTTTCCAGGCGCATGCCGGCTGTAGTGTTCCTGCAGTCCATGTACGTTCAACAGTCGTACTTCAAATGTGTTGCCAACTCTTCTGCCGTCTTCGCGCTCCCTGTCGGCTTGTGAGGCGACAGGAAAAAATCACGGCTTAGGTCGGGTGCAGCTCAGCCTCTAAGAGACATCTTGGCTTTGCCGAGTTTTCAAAGAGGTCCTTTGCCGATTTGGCCCAATGCCATTACGTTGCTTGAGCCCTTGATTTCTGCTTTCATGGGCGTTGCCTGATGATCCAAGTACAAGGGAATCCTTCAGGATCTGCTTTCTTTAGTTCAACATTATACTAAGGATCCATCCGCCTCATTGTCAGAAGTTGTAACCTCTTACTCTGCACTATACAGTTAGCACAGGCGATCACCTGCTCTACTGTGGGTGGACAGTCAGGTGGATTACATGGATACATTTAAAAAACAAAGACAGTAGTTCACATATATTTAAAGCTGTCTTTTCATTTCACTCAGTCATCTAGTCAACAAAACGTGTTGGTTTCCTTCCGAGGAAAGCTGGAGAAGACAAACTTCAGAAACGGTGCTTGGGTCCAAATTCCACCTGTCATGTGCTCACTGTGTGAATCTGGGCATGTGTGTCCACATTTGTAAAACGGGAACACAGTATTTACCTCAGAGGGTTGTTCTGAACTCTCAACGTGTTCACGTATGTAAAGCACTGGGAGCAGTACCCACATGGTCACGTCTGCTCTTCCAGGGCCCCTGCCTCGCTGCTGTCATTCCTAGCGCAGCCGGCACCGCCCTGGCCCGTAGCCGGAAGCCGGCAGGTGGAGCCTACTGGTGCGGGGGTGGGGGCAATGGGAAAGGCAACACATTTTGTTTAAAAGTTTATTAAAAATTAACCACGCGGGAGGGAGGGGGAAAATGAGGAGTTGATATTAAGGGCTCACGTGGAAGGCAAATGTTTTGAGAATGATGATGGCAGTAGATGTACGGTGTGCTTGACACAATGGAAGTATGTATGGATTGTGATAAGAATTGCACGAGCCCCCAATAAAATGATAAAAAAATTAACCATGCATAGTAAGCATTTCTCCAGGTCACTACATCTTTCTCAAACCCATTCAGTGAATGACAATGGCAGAATGACTTAATTAAGTCTATGGTATCATGTATTTTATCTCATGCTGCAATGCTCATTCAAATGGGATATAATACTTTAAAAATAGCAATAAATAAGCAACCCTTTTTTATTGTGAATTGGGTGAAGATTTTCAAAATGGATTACCAGGTTTACATTCAACAATTCACATATATTTTGTGAAGGATTTAGTAGTGTATATTTAGAATACATTAAATATGAATATCAAATATATGCCACTTAATGTTAAATAATACATCACATATATTTAATATTCAAAAAAAGCCATCTCGACAGAGAGATATTTTGATTGAATTGTATGGCCCCCAAAATATGTGCTGACATCCTAAACCCTCTACTGAATGTGACTAGATTAGGAAGCAGGACCTTCCCTCTCTTACATTAATGGGGTTGGGCCAGAGAAGGGTCCTAAACCTAATCGCTTCCAGGACATAAAGCACAGAAATGACACACAGACACAGGCATAGGGAAAGAGCCATCAAAGAAGGCCACGGGTCTGAGAGGGCCACAGATAGGACCGTCCTCTGGAGCCACGCCCAGCATGGAAACGTCCAGTCTCCCCAACTGCGAGGAAATAAACTCCTTCTTTTAACAGGCACCCACTTGTGGTGCTTGTGTCACAGCAGCACTGATCACTAAGACAACTGTGGCTCTGTGACAACAACTAAGGTCACTATGGTTCTGTGGTTGTTAGCAGTCTGCTATTAGGTGAGAAAACCACCGTAATGATGTATGAGACTTCTCTGATAGGAAGCCCAAACCGACGTTGGTTTATGATTTATCAGAGGCCCTCGGAGGGAAGGCATGGCGCTCTGTTTCTCCATGGCTCATCATTGAAGACTCACTGGAGCAGCTCCACTCTATACACACACACACACACACACACACACACACACACACACACACACACGGAGTCACTTGACGGCAACTGGTGATTGGCTGGTATCACAGAAGAGGGCTAGTCCTCAGTGACGTAAGCACACTGAAACAAGACGTGAGGCTTAAATACCAGGGTGCTGCGTGCTCCTCCTCGTCCTCCTCTCACACGTGGAGCTCCAGTGACTCACACTGCGGTCATTCTGCTCCCTGTTTGCTGCCCACCACAGAGGGGTTGGCTCCTCCTTGTAGCAGAGGCAAACTAGAGCCTGCCTGGTTGGTAATTTGGCTCCGGCTCCCATCTGAGCTCTGTGCACTGTCCCCCGCTCCAGGAGGGCAGGGGCAGGGTCTGTTTCAAATCATTTACAAAGGCTCAAGTGCACAATAAAGCTGTCTAATTCAATAGTTGGCGTCTGCCAATTGCTTGCATTTGCAGAGCATACTGGTGCTGGTACCTTCCAAAGTGAATTATATTCCACCCCAGTGAAGCGTTTGAACTGTGGTGCTGGGGAAGATCAGTCCAAGTACCATGGACAAACTGATCTGTCTTGGAAGAAGTAGGGCCGGAGTGCTCCCCAGAGGCGAGGATGGCGAGACTTGGTATACTCTGGACATGTTGTCAGCAGGGACCAGGCCCTGCAGAAGGACATCTCGCTGGTACAATGGAGGGGCAGCAGTAGAGAAGAAGGCCCTTCAGGAGATGGCCTGGCACCAAAGCTGCAACCCTGGGTCGCACAGGGGATGGCGCAAGGCCGAGCAGTGTTTTGTTGTATGTGTGCAGGGTTGCTGCGAGCTAACAGCAGCAGTAACGACAACACCCGGCTGGGGACCTCCGGAATCTCACCAGTGCGCACCTTCGATGGAGGAGTGGCACAGTATAAAAACAGTTGTTCCAATATGTGCTTAAATATCGTTGTGCCCCCCCCCCCACCCCATCTGAGAGAAATAAAACCCTAATTTAATTTATCTTATTTTTGCCATGGGGCACTATAAACCTACGGCGTTGCTTTGGGATTTGTTTGGAAAGCCAATTTAAGAGCAGGAATTCTAAGCCAGATATCGGGTGCCTACACAGGGGCACCTTTTTCTTTGCTTTCTTCTCGCCCTCATCAGGGAAGTGGAGAAACTTAGCCAGTGCAGGCTGTGCTTTGAGAAACTGCCGCACGCTGGAAATGAAACCTTGCCGCCTGCGCTCCTAATTTCCCATCTACATAACAGTCCATCGCCAAGATGCACTGTGAGTTTAAATCTGCTTCTTAGTACATTTACTGAGCATCATCCGTTTTCACAGCACAGCCAAGGGACTAAAGATGCTTTTAAGGAATCCCTTAGCTTCACTTAAAAAGCCTGGGTGGCCCAATGTCTAAGTGCTCAGTTATGAACAGAAAGACTGGCAGTGTGGACCCATGCAGCAGCTGTGTGTGTGTGTGTGTGTGTGTGTGTGTGTGTGTGCAGAAGACCTAGCAATCTACATCTGTGAAGACGACTGTCGTAAGGTGCCCTTGAGTCTGTTCCGACTCAGACCCTCGGTCCTATGCTGAGTGACACACAATGCTGCTGCTTGATCCCGGTCATCCCCACTGTGCTTGCTACTCTGAGCCCACGGTTGTAGCCACTGAGCCAGGCCATCACTCCAAGGGCTTCCTCTTTCTCACGGATCCTCTACTTTTAGCAAGCAGCATGTTCTTCCCAGAGACTGTGCTTGATAGCATGTCCAAAGTAGGTGAGATGAAAAAAAAAGGATTTTGTCAGCTGCTTCTTCTGCATTCATTAAGGTGATCAAGTGGATCTTTTCGCTTCTTCTGTGAATGGTATGAGTTCTGGTTGCATGGTAGGCTACTCAACGAACTAACCATGAGGTCAGTGGTTCAAACCCACCTCGGAGAAAGATGAGACTGTCTACTCTCAAAGATTTAAAGTCTCAGAAACTCAGTGAGGCAGTTCTACTCTGTCCTACAGGGTCACTGTGAATGAGAATTGGCTCGATGGAAGGGAGCTCTTTAGTTAATATAGCATACACATACCACGTTGACGGATTTCTAATGTTGAACCACCTTGTGTTCCTGGGACAGATCCCGCCTGATGACAGGCTATAATCCATTCAGTATGTTCAGGTTTGCAGTGCTGTTGCATCCGTGCCCAGTAGTTAATGGACTGTCCTTTCCTTTGGGTGACCTTGTCTGGTATTTGGTATCGCCCCTCAGGATGATGAGTTAGGAAGTGCTCCCCACTCTTCGGGTTTTTGGAAATATTTGTAAGATCGGGGACACTTCTTTTATAAATGCGTATTTGTTTTTGTAATTGGAAGCATATTTTTACGGTTCAAATGTTCTCAAAGCAAAAGCACACATACTGTGTTAAGTTTAAGAAGATAGACATCTTGGCCCTGTTAGTAAAAATAAGCTCACTGTCATCGGGTGTGTTCTGACTCGGTGTGACACTACAGACACTCTAGAACTGCCCCTGTGAGCTTCCCAGGCTTCAACTCCTTAAGGGAGTAGAACGCCTGTCTTTCTCCCACAGGGCAGCTGGTGGTTTGCAACTGCTGACGTTGTGATTCGCTGATCCACAGTGACCCTCTATGCCGCCAAGGCTCCCCTCCTTGCACTTTTAGTAAATGAAAATTATTTAGTAACTCCTGATTTTACATTCACACCATTTGGTTTAAAGCTGCAGTAACTTCTCTTCCCCTGCCCCCCAAAAGATTCACTTTGCAGGTTTATTTTTAATGCTGCTTCTTTCCCCATTTTGAAAGATTTGATCCATAAAAGCAAGCTACACTTGTTTCTCTCTAGATCTTTCTCGGGAAATCTGCATGGCACAACAGCGCAGGCGCTGCCACGAATCAAGTGGAACCACCTAGGCAGGCAGTGAATTCTCAATGTTGAAGGTAAACTTTGTGATTAGGTTTCCATTTGTTGAGTGAGTGGTGTTAACATCTTTGATGTACACTTTCCCCAGCAGATTCTAACTTGCTAAAACATTAACATCTGTGTTATTTTAAGTTAAAATTTTTTTAAAAATCTGGTACCACAGAACCTTGCCATTTTAGGAAGGAAACACCGAGAAAATAAAGAAATGTGTTTTGTAAGCACCACGGTTTCCTTTGGAAAAATCCCGGTCCTCCCAGGTCATGGCTGTCTTCCTCTCAGCCCAGGTCAGGGGACGCCGCACAGTTCATGAGAACTGGATGTCACACGGTTCCCGCTCTCCAGAAAAGTGTGGCTCCCGCTCAGTTGACATGACAGCAGCCTGGCTTGCAGGAAAGTCAAAGGACTGACCTCCAGCCCCGCCGAGCAGCAGACTGGAAGAAGGAAAACAACCCAATCTTCGTGTGCACCCCCAAGCTTCTTCCTTTGCCTCCCTAGGGCGCCTGTGCACCACGCGAAGACACTAGCCGTGGTTCCGTTTTTATTCCACGGTACAAAACACACGGATGAGCAGGGAGGTGGGCTCCGTGTGCTACGGAGTGCAACCCGGAGACCCGACGGCACTCCCTGGCGGAGAGGCAGCTCCAGAACCTGCGGCGGGCGGGGTTCAGGGAACGGCTTTTGGGGAGCCATATTTTCTATGGCGGTTGGCGGGCTCTCTGCTCGTCACTAGGCATTTCAGGGCCACTCTGTGCCCATCTCACAAATCCCTAAGACTGCGGGGCTCGCGGGAGCAGGGCACCTGAGCCGGGCTGCCTGTGAGTGCCGCAGGAAGCAGACGCAGAAATGAAGAGGCAGCAGGAGAGAGAAGTCCATGCCTGTTACTGAGTTCCAGCCAGAAGGAGTTGGACTCCACTCAACAGCGACTGATTAGCGGATCACTGAATTTCATGATTGGAAGGGACTCTGGAGCCCATCTGATCCAACCCTCTGCTTCTACTGGAAACATGACTTTATTATTGCACAGGAAAACGAAAGCCATGGCTACTCGTTCTTCCTTCTGCCCTGTGATGACTCCCGTGAGGTGCCATCCACGTGGCCACTCAGGAGCTGGTCCCACGGGCTTGCCACACAGCATCCTTCGTGGTCACCTCCACCCCTGCCTCTCCTGTCCCCCGGGGCCACAGCCCCCTAGTGGAGTCGTGGAACCTAAGTCTTCCCCTCCCATTGTGACACGGCCCCAAGAGAAGTGTCTGCCGGCGCTTCCACCTGATGATCCCGGTGTGCACGTGGGTTCTGGAACCGACTGGGAGTGAGCTGATCAGATTACACCGTCGGCAGCCATCTACACTACATTTCTACCTGAGATAACGGAACGTATGCTAGGGTGATGCCATCGTCACCAACAGCTTTGTATGGGGCCTGGGGAGGTATGTGTTTTCCAGGCAGTGGCCAGAGGGCTGCAAATTCGCAGACAAAGAAGGCGCTGTTTGACTGAAAAGAACTCCAGAAGTGCACTGAGTCGGTGTGAGATTTTTAAGGATCCACAGCCCCACTTACTCACAGCTGTTTCCTTATGGAGATGTTGGTTCTGAGGTAAGCACAGGAACTAACAGCACATGAGCTGTGGCGTCTAGCCACCATCGACACCTCTGGGACAAGAGAGCCGGCAAGACCGATAGATACCTGCTTCTCCGCTTGTTTCAGGAGCTTCTGGAACCCGGCGTCCTCCAGCACGCCCCGCGGCAGGTCCGTCTCGCCCTGAGCTTTCAGCTCCTCCAGCTTCTGCCTCAGGCCTCTCAGGGCCTGCAGCTCGTCGTTGAGCCGGCTCTGCCGGGTCAGGGACGCCTGGAGGTCCAGTTCTAAGTCGAGAGAGGTCCGCACAGGGCAGTCTTGGGTTGTTCTCCTCAAGACTGGCTGGCACATGGTCTGGATCATGAGGGAACACAAGAGAGAGACATCCAGAACAAGGTCAAAAGGGCCTGATCACACTGGGGCTCATTCTCACAGAGGGCCAATCTCCTGTGTTTCCTCCTTCCTGGCACAGGGCAGGATTGCAATTCCCTGCTGCCAGCAGGGCTGGAAAAGGGGCTACTTTAGCCACGCTGAGAAGTGAGAGCCACAGGTGTCACTTCCGGGCTGGGCCTTTTGTGCTCAGGGTGAGCTGTGTTGAGTCGCCATGCCTGTGCCAGGGTTGGAGAGCTCCGTGGAGGGAGACTCCCTCTGCCCGGGTGCTGACTGAGGATGCCGGGCAGGAGAACGCTCAGACAACCTGCAATTACCAGGTCGCTTGTTAGAAGCAAATCTGTGTTGTTTCGGGACACAGAGATTTTAGGGTTGCTTGTGACCAGCACAAGAGAGCTAGCTTAGCCTGATCCATTCAGTACACAAAGCCTGCGCTATGCAAAAAACATAGATATTTCTAGAAACTTAGATCTCCTCCACTTCAGTGTACCTGGTAACTCCCCACCCCAGCCCCCACCCACACAGTTTGCGCCCATGTGCTAGCCTGACCGCAGCTGGTCAACAGGAGTAAAATTTAACTTCCTTCTGTGATCAACATGCATCAATTACCACACATTCCTGGAGTCCCCGTTTTCAGACTCTACTTCCACCACTGAATCTTACCCATCTATCAAGAAATAGTTATCGAATACCTAAGAACCTGCAAGGGGTCTGTAGGGAAAGCGTTAGACAGACCACACACAAGCTCTGCCCATGTGGACTTCAATGAGAGATCAGGGTCAGACAATACTCAGCAGTGAGCTGTGGAACAGGGTCTCTGAGGGCCACAGGATGCTAGGGAAGGGCGGCAGCACTCTAGAGAAATATACAGAGTTGCTTCAGACTGTGTGAAAAGAGGGGAGGGAGGAGGGCAGTTCTTGCCTAGGATGCTGGCAGTGGGAATGGAAAGTAAGATTACTAATGAGAATGGGTACTGTCTGCTATAAGAGCAGAGGAACTCAAGCATGACAAGCACTGGAGTTGGCGGATCTAGAGCAATGGTGGTGTCCATGGCAGATGGAAAGGAGAGGGTCTGCCTGCCTCTCTTCTGAGGCCAGGTCAGAATGACTCTGATCGCCTCTTCCTGTTGCCCATTCACTAAAACCCTTAGCTGTCAGCCTTCTGCAACATTCTTCTATTAGACTCCCTTTACCCAAGCTTTGTCTTTTCTAACAAACTCTGTACACCACAGGATCATCGACATCTATCTGCCTTGAGTTTATCTCTCATTTGTCAGAAGCAGAAATCCTGCCTAGTTTCCTTATACCTGGAGGCTTCCCAAGGGCTCGAATGCACAGGGGTGCTGCGCTGGTCCATGGTGCATACTGGCTTTCCGAGCAGGAAAAGGACTAACCAAAAGATGTGTCCACTTTCTATGGTGCAAATACTCCCTCTACAGCCATTTCCAAGGTCTCACTCTGATTCACTGAACTTGACAGTGAGGTGTGCATAATGAATTTGCACCTACACATTAGTGTAAGCAGGCTTCAACATCACTGCCAAGGGGTGCCTCTCTGACTTCCTGACTCATATCCTTGACCTTTTCCTCCTCGAGTCAAGCAAACCTTTTGTAAGGTGCCCTGGTGGCACTGTGGGCTAAGCATTTGGTAGGTAGTTCAAACCCAACAGCCTGTCTTCAAGAGAGAGATGAGGCTGTCTGCCCCTGCAGAGATTTACAGTTCTCGGAAACCCAACACAGACAGGGTGGCTGTGACTGGAACTGACCTGGTGGCACCTAACAACAACAACAACAACAACAACAACAACAACGTGCGTTGGAATTGACTTGATGGCAGTGGATTTAGTTTGAAACCTTTTACTGATCTTCCCAGATGCCTTTAGATCTTTTCTGAGTTAGAACTCCTAATCAGAACACCGTTCCCTCCTCACTGCCTTCAAATCACATCTGTATACTCATTCATTTGAAAAAACAATGAAAAAACAAACAAATGAGAGCTTCTTACATTCTTTCAGAATTAAGCTTGGTCTGATTCAAGTAGTTCTTATCAAGATTAAGCTTTGTCTGACTCAAGTAGTTCTAATACCTAAAGTTTATATATAATCCAAAAAAATATTTTCTGGTTCTCCTGATATCGTGCACACACCTAACTTCAGCTTGCTCTGGAGTACAGCTCTCTGAAAGTAGGTGCTGTTAAGTAGGCAGGTGACGTACGTGATAGAGTTGGGAAGAGTTTTCATCAGAAACAATGGAAATTTAGGTGCTTTTAAAAGATAAGACTTGGTCATTTAAAAGGATCAACTTAAAAGTTTGTGAATGCCAGCATATTTACCTTTAGTAAAAACAAAGCATACGTTTATTATTTTCAAGTAACTAGGAGGTTGAACCAGGATGGAAACGGTGGCTAGTGATGCCTCTAGTATTTGGCACACAGTGGGGCATTCAACCAGAGCGCCTAGCCCCTCCCCACCATCCCTGTGCAGTGCCTGAGCCCGCCTCAGCTCCAACGGTGCCATCTCGTCTCATTTCCATGATACCAGCTGCCAGCACCCGGCATCCTCGCTCACCTCCCAGCATGAGGAAGCCTCTCCTGACCCTCCCAGCCGGATGAGCGCATTCCCTGCCTTTGTCTCCCCCTGTGCTCCCAAGCTGCTGGAGGAGGCCAGCCCATCACCTACAGCTCACTCTCCACTGAAGAGTAAGCAGACACCTTTCCATTAGTGTTTCTGCTACTGAGACATAAACAAACTAAGTTTCCACCTGAATTACCATGTGATTCCAGGTTCCAACGCAGTGGTAATGAACGGCCTCCTCTCTCTCTCTCCCATCTCCCCCAAACCTCAAAACTGACATCACACTGGTGTCTGGGTGTAATCACAGTGGCTTCATTCAACAGCCTGAGCCTGGAGCCCTGACATCCAACCGGTCTGGCCTTAGCACCCACTATTGCAGGTTCCTGCTTAGTCAAGGCTGCGGAGACGCCTGAGGGGATACATACCCTTTTAATCCTCAAACTCCGCCGTTCGTTGGAGTTCCTCACAAACAGTGGTTTTTTAGCCAAAGTCGAACTGTCGCTGTCACTTCGATTTAACTGTTGGCAAAGGATTTAAAAAATAAATAGGCGGGGGGGGAGGGAGAGATAAGAAAAATCACCATGTAACCAAGTGTAGGTTTGGAGCAGAGCAGTTGATCAAATAAGTAGGTAGTGATCATATGTGTTTATTACCTTAGCAAGATCCTTTAAGACAAGTAAGTTTTCACCTTTCTATTCTTAAGTAAGACTCTCTGAAGCTACCTTTGGGGAGCAGTTATCCAAAGTCATATGTTAAGAGGATTATATATTTTTTAAAATAAAATTATCCTTTGCATTTTTAGGTAATCTGCAACATTTGTTTTTTGGAAACAGGTCAGGCGAGGTATGGAGGCCAGGGTTGGAGGGAAGACACGGCGTGCCCCACCTGGAAGTCTCAGTGCACAGACCGCCGGCAGCTCCCTCGCCCTGATGCTGCCTTCGCAGTGAAGCCGAAGAGTCGGAGAGTTCTGATCTGTTCTGTTCTTTAATGTGGAACCTTTGTCTTCATCATTCCCAGTCCCCTCATTTGCGATCGATAGCACTGATCCCTACCCAAGACACTTCATCATTTACTGAAGCACCGTGCTTGGTGCTCACTGTCTAGCCTCTGTCGCAAACAGTAAGCTCTGAAAAGGTCGGGCTCTAGCTTTCTTTGCCCCTGGGAACGATTACCAAGGATCTAGAAAAGTGATTGCTACTAAGGGCTTACCAAAACTATTTATTGAGTTGAACTGAATACGCTTACATTTTTACCAGTATTTCCTAATCTGTTTCGCTATGTCAAATCTGTGTGAGCCGTGACCACCTCGAGAAGGAAACTTCGGCACACTGATGCACATCCTTATCCTTCGCAAAACGAGGAATCTGACTTAGTGTGTCCTGAGAACATGAACAGGAAATGATTTTTCCAATTCACGTTTGCTTCAGCAAGACTAACAGGATCCGGAGCACATACGCTATGGAGCAGAAATACCTAATTTGTCTATCTCCAGCCAGTTTAATTTTTCTAGGAACAGAGCGAAATCCAAACACACTCACAAGTCAGATTCCTAAATGTCGCTGGTCAGATCAATGACACGAGCATCAATGTGACACTGCACGTGAAACCACAGGCAGACGAACAAACAACGCCCACCCACACTAGCGCCGTCAGCGTGCGGCGTACAGAGCTGGCAGCCCGTGGTAGCCAGTGGTATTTGAAGGCAGGCAGAATTTGAAGTTTCTCTGTACACAGCTCGGGCCCCTGACAGGCGGCTGGGCTGACCCCTTACCCTGCAGATGTACTGGTTGCGTTCTCCCGGAGAAAAGGTTTGTGAGCGAACGATCACGCTGCTCCTCACAAAGGGATGCTGCCGGGAGCTCAGGCTGCTGCGGTCTTTGGGGCGGACGGCCACACTCTCATCAACTGCTTCCTCGGTATTTGTCTCTTTATCAACCTACAAGAGAAGTTACTGATTCTCCTGGAGGGGCTAGGTGTGCACACATTTCTGCTCTTCTCTTCTGAAAAACCCGGCCTCACAGCAGAGACGTGTCTAAGGCCACCAAGGCCATTGCTGAGAGAGAGGCTTGGGGTTACAGAACCTGGTCTTTCTGACAGGAACTGGGGCGAGCGGTTTCCTCCCGAGATCCCAGGAAGTTACCCGCAACGGACAGGAGGACATCTGTCCAGCAATACCACCCACAGATGTAGGTGCCACCTCTAACGAATAGACCTAAGAAGGCAGTTTGGGATTCCTAGTGTGTGAATGTTGTAATAGAAAAATCCTATCTGGAGATATTTATTTGAGTGTTAAACACTACAGAATAAATAATGAAAGTAATTAAATGTTAAAATGAAGACACATGACAAGTTGTAGATTTAAATAGAATACAAGCTATTCATACATATATGGCTATGTAATGGCTGGGAAGCTGAGTTTAGGGTTTCTTAAATTGGATCTTTGGAAATATAATAAAAAATCTTAAATTTTAAACGAAAAAGGAAAGCTTCTCAACATCTAAACTTGGTAGGCACAGACAGATGTCTGTTTTGGATCTTCTCATTGGGCCAGCTCCCAAACCTGCCCCTCATGCTCATTGGCTCCTTGTCAAAGGAAGTCCTTGGAACTGGCATTTTCTACATTCGGTTCTCACCACCCTGAGAAGACTGAGAATACTGCCGTTCCACTCTGGGGGTGGAAGTCTCAACATGCCCCTCACTCAACCCGCAGAGTTACCTGCTTCATTATCTCTGGTGGCACCCGAACCTCATGTAAATCATCTGTTGTTGCCTCCCACAACGCTCCCTGACCAACGTGAACTTCACATATTCATGCAACGTGGAAATGGCAATAAATCATGGCACGTATAGAACTTGATACAATGAAGTAGGCATCCTGGTATTGTTCAGGAATTTCAGAAAACACTTTAATCAAGATGCACGGAATATTATCAGAGACCTAAAGTATCGCTATTTCTCTTCTTCTAGCACATGTAGTTGGATAGTTAATACTTGGGGCCCGTTCCAAGATTTTAAAGCATTTAGCACGCATTGCCACAGATGCCTCTCATGATTAGTGCTGTGGAGTAGAAGCTACTGCTGAAACACACCCAAAGAGACAAACAGGCGTCTCTGTGGACAACCCGCTCCCCACAGGCAGGCCTTGTGAGAGCACACACGGAAATAATCACCAGGGTGGGCATTCCGGCGGGTGGCTGACTTCCAGGGTCTTTGGCACCGTCACTGTCTTCTCTGTTTGTGTGTTCCTTCATCTCAGACACATTAGTGTTTGAATTTAAGTCTTCGATACGGCTACCGCCCCTTCGTAGTTTAACGTCAGTCCCTTCTTCAGTCACATTTTCGTCAGAGGCCTCTCCTAGCCTTGTCAACCTATTGTGGAACAAAACCACACAGTGTTAGGTTAGGTCGGTCCGTTCCTGGGCGACAAGCACAGTTTGGGCATGCTAACTCATTGTCTGGAAAATGGACAACAGACTCAGTATATAATGATTTTAAGAGACTCCTATGGTTAGCACTTTTAACTCAAATGTCTCATTCTCACTCTACCTTTTCCACTCTCACTTTACTATCTAGCAAAGTACAGCAAACCACCATGGTCTGATACTGAAAAAGGTAAACTCATGGCATTGGACCCAATTTCTGGATGTTGAAATAGAAAAATTCTGAAAATCATATGTAAAGCTAGAATATTGACGTTGACTGGGGTGCAGGCTAGCATTAGTTCTCATTCATTATAAAACTGATCCTACAACTGAAGGGAGCGACTCTCAACCGAGAATGGATGGGAACAGGAAGACGAGTGATTTTTGATTGTCGTCTGGGCTTTGCATAGTCAATAAAATACAAGTAAACATCTTCTGGTAGTCTGTGCTGTGAGCCAAGATCCTTCTGACATTAGCAATGATAGCCCTTGTTCAATGTCCTCTTCTGAAACCAGCCGGAACCTTTGGCAGCTCCCTGTCAATATACAGATGCAATCATTGTTAGATGACCTTCAGCAACATCCACTTGAATGTGATATTAATGCTATAGTTTGAGCATTCTGTTGGATGGATATAAACGTGGATCTCTTCCTGTCACGTGGCCAGGTCGCTTTCTTCCAAATTTCCTGATATAGACAAGTGAGTGCTTCACCAGCTCATTGAAAACTTCAATTGGTACTCCTGGAGCCTTGTTTTTGGCTAATGCTTTCAGTATAGCTTGAACTTCCTCCTTCAGTACTCTTGGTTCTTGATTATCTGCTAGTCCTGAAACGGTAGAATACCAACTTGTTCTTTTTGGTACAGTGACTCGGTGTATTCTTTCCATGTTATTTTGAGGCTTCCGGAATCATTCAATATTTTGTCCATAGAAACTTTCAATATTGCAACTTGTAGCTTGAATTTTTTTCTTCAGTTCTTTTGGTTTCAGATATGCTGATTGTGTTTTTTTCAATTTTGGTTTTCTAATGAAGTATTTTCATATTTCATTATAATATCTGACTGTGTCTTCTTGAGCTTCCCTTTGAAATTTTCTGTTCGGCTCTTTGACTTCATAATTTCTTCCATGTCCCTTAGCTAATCTACGATTAAGAACAAGTTGCAGAGTCTCTTGTGACATCCATTTTGATATTTCTCTCTTTTTTGTCTTTTCAATGGCCTTTTGATTTTTTTCATGAATGATGTGATTGATGTCTTTCCACAGGGCATCAAGTCTTCTGTCATTAGTGTGCAGTCGTCAAATCAAACATACACTAAGTGTCTTTTTTTGAAATGTGTGTAAAACAAGTTGTATTTTACAGGAAAGAGAGAGGTTTAGTACTTAAGACATTATCACAGACCTTATAAGCATTCTTTTATCCATTTGTTTGCAGTACTCTAATTTTTGTCTGATTATACTGAACTGCTAACCGGTTAGCAGTTCAAAACCTGCCACTCTGTGGGTCAAAGATAAGGTTTTCTACTCCAAAAAGATTTAACTATCTCAGAAACCCATCGGGCCACTATAAGTTGGTATCGAACTGATGGCAGTGAATTTTTAACAAAAATTTTATCTTCCTAAAAAAATACTTTTCGTAAAGACAAAGTATGTACCCTTTTGCATCACTGTAGTAATTGTTCCATTGAAATGACAATGGACAATGAATGTTATACACCTCCTACTGAGTGTGTAGAAAGTCATGTATATCTCTAGGGACACAAACAAAAGTACATGCTATCTATACACATGCATATACGTACTAAGAGAAAAACCAAATATAATAACACAAAAATCTGTATCCCTAAGTGGCTACTCCAAAAACAAGTACGCACTGGAATTTGTTTTTATAGTTAGCAGTGCAAACCAGGAAAGACAGCTCTTTGTCCACGTGTGAATGTGGACAAAGTTATAAAATGACCTTTTTTCCTCTTTTAAGGGTGGGGGATGGATAAGAACAGAGTAAGGACAGTGAGAGTTAACAAACAGAGAAGACATTTTCTAAATATCTGCCTTGACACTTCTGATAAAGAAGAAGAAAGTCAGCCTTTTCATTTTTCAAGGCTCTAAAAGGACCGCCACCATGCAAATGAAGTAACTGAGACTTAAATAACACGCATCCTCCACGAAGGTGTTAAAAATTACTAAACCAAGAACTAAGAATCTCCGTAAGGGTTAACTTAGTCCATTAACCGTGTCCCTGCATCCTTCGACTCGCAGACTTCTTCCAGGAACAAACTCCCTGAAGCCACAGCGTGCCGCAAACTGCCAGCAATAAGCGATGAACACATAAATGGCTTCCCTGAACGTTGCTTATGCGACAGGAAAGGAAACACCTTCTCCTGGGATTTCCCGTAGCGAGAGGAGAGAACTGCTTTACCAGTCTCCTTCTGGGACCCTTGGCTCTGTTTCTTGCCCTGGTTCTTCTTCCTCTTCTTCTTGTGCCAATTCTTGTTCCACAGCCAGCAGCTCAGCGGAGGTTCTTGCAAGCAAGGCTGACACTGCATCCTGGAGAATGTAAACATAGAGTAAGTGGCACCATAGGTTCCGGAGGGGCATACAGACTTGGTTTGCACAGGACTGTGGCAGTACCACTAGGATAGGAAGATATAAAGCTAAGTTCAGGTTTACCAAAGTAGTCTGTGTGTAAGGTGTCAGAGAAAATGAACTTCCCGTGGGGCCAATATTTTATATGATAGTCCCATCTATGCATTTGCGACTCCCAAGCTGTCCTTTTCTATGTATAGCGATCTCACAGTCCTTAGCTATATAAAAATGGAAATCCAGGTTCCTTAAGCGATCAGGTGATCTGCTCATATTGTAATCTGCTGCCAGGGAATATAAAATCCATGCTGAGGGCAAATACTAGCCAGAGCCTCTACAATTCCTCATTTATAATATCCAACATCTCACTGGAAATAGGGCCTACTACCTGTAAGTAAAGAGAAAAAAAGAACAAAGAGGCATACCCACAGGAGATCCACCTATTAGAGTTATGTGATAATCAGGTTTGATGTGTCAACATGGCTCCTGTAGGAACATGGGGGTGGAATTCAGCCTGTCAATCAGGTCACAGCTTGACTGCAGTGCAACTGAGATAAATGCCTTTCCAATATGGGGCTCCTTGGCTCTTTTTCTCTCTGGTGATTGGACCAGTGCAGCAAGATGCTGACTCAGCTGCTCTGTGCTACCTATGGGCTGAGCCAACCTGTGGACCGTGTCACTATGCCATGCATCGCTAAGCCTTGAGGTCCTTCAGCCACCTGGTTTGCTATGCTGCTGCACTACTGGCGCTGCTATGCCTCCACATCTCATCTTCCTGCATTCTCCATCATTGCAAGTAGCTGTGTGAGTCTGGAGTGGGGTTCATGGACTAGTATCAGACTTATGGACTTGATTTGGACTGGGCTGGGATGTTTTCTTGATATACAATTGCTCCTTGATATAAAGCTCTTTCTTACACATTTATGAGTGTCCCTGGATTTGTTTCTCTAGTCAACCCGGACTAACACAAGTTATTAGAGATACTAATTATAGAACTTTAAATTTTATGTTCAAGAAAACTAATGAAATGTTGAAGAATTTCATTAGTATAAACAAAGAAAGGCATATCAGGTACAGTAGAGCAAAATTGCTGGTCATCAAAAATGAAGGGGGAAGTTCTTAAAGGCAGTAAAAGGAAAAAGATAGAAACATTATACTGACCTCTAACATCTCAACAGAATCAGTGGAAACCAGAAGGCAAGAAATGAATACTTGAATGCGCTCAATGTACATAAATGACAACATGGACTTTGAACGTTGTAAAAATATTCTTTACAAATGACACTGAAATGAGACATCAGCAGACCTATACTAAAAGACACACAAACAAAATATTGAAGGGATTTCTTGCAAGTAAAAGGAAAATAACCCA